GCTCGGGCGCTAGGTGGTGCCTAGAAGGGAGCACGAATAGACTCTTGTTGCTCAAGGAAGGTGCGAACTGGCTAGAGTGGAGAAGAGCAGACGAAATGAGAAAGGAAGAGTGACAATGACATCTGGTGGGCCCTATTTATAGGAGCCTCCAGAGTGGGAATACGAATAGACCTGAATTAAATTCAAATTTAATATTGGTAACCGTCGTTATGAAGCGACGTGATGGTTGAAGTGACGGTTACCCCCGACCAATGTGGCTGTTACCTACGGCCTCAGAGACCGTGGCACTGATCAATAGGGCCCCACGCCGAACTGACACCTTCCTTGAAATTTGATCCAGATTCATACGACCGTGCGATGACTCTAGACTTCAAGGGGAGGCTAATGTGGAGGAGCCAATCTGCTGTGGACACGTGTTAGTTCGGATGAGTCTACTCGGCAGCGCCGACCTGCTAGTTCAGACTTCAGCCACGGCCCTCCTGGGATTCGAGCAGGGTATGGACTCCAGGCCCATTAGGGCCAGAGGTAGAGAGGTAGAATCCAAATAGGACTCCACCTCTTGCAACCTAGTAGGGTTCCGTTAGGACTCTCCCTCCGGATCATCCCACGAGACTCTACAAACAAGGAGTGAAGGGACCAGGAAAGGTACGCATTCATACATCTATAGCACTACACGACACAACCGCTTCCTATCACTTCTTGAAAACTCTGTCTAACTTGACCGTCGGAGTAACAATGGGGAGCTAGTCCCGCTGTTCATCCCTTTGCAGGATAGTTTGGAACCGGCCTTGGCGCTCAGTTTGGATCGCGTTCTCAGCACCCGCATCAGGTGTCTACCCAATAAATGTATTTTATGTGTTGGATTTTTGAAAATGTAAGGTCAATTTAGGAAAGTATATAAATGCAAAGAAAGGTATTAATTATTAGTATGTACATATACATTACAAATTATGTGAAATTTAGTTGTGTTGATGGTGCCTAACGGGTTAGAAAAACTCTTAATTTTATGGACCACCATGGAATGATACGTCTTTTGAAGCTCTTAACCATGGACACAACTAAAGAAGTGGTGTTAATTTCCTTACGAGAAGTGCCATTCTGTCACGGAGACATGTCTATTGTCTCATCTGGATAATGTAGATAACAACACGAGATCATTGACGAATCCATGTCCAGTATCTTTAACATATTTGCTGTTAGCTTATTGAAAGGCTTTAGTCGAAGTTAAGAGAGAGTGCAGATTAATTGATGAGCTAATTTGGTTTGAAATAATGGTAGCTGTATGGTAAATTATTTTTGTCTTTGCTAGCTTTCTACTTTCATTTTTTTTCTACCTTTTGTCTTTGCGAGCAATCTACTTGCATAGTTTCAACCCCCGCTTGAATGGACAAATAAATTGTGTGCTACTTAATAGATCAGGTGGTTTTCGACAATGGAATCCAGAATCACCAAAGTCATCCAAATATGTATTTAAACAAAGCTATGAATTCCCTTACTTACATTTAATTTAGCTATTTTCATGATCGTAAAGGGAATAGGACATCGTGTTATTCTTATTTTATCATGTGTATATTCACAATTTCGTTGATTAATAAAAAATAAGCATGACATCTCTCCTCTGTGTATGCGGTTTGCAAAAAAAAAAAAAAAGAATAATAATAAACTAAGCTATGAATTCTCAAACTCCACATAAAAGTCAATTCAAGATATAGAAAGGAGCAGTTTATTAGAGTAAGAATAAAAAGACTAAACACGTTCAGTGATGAGGGCTTTTTTTGTAAGTTTATTTTCCTTCTTTAGTTTCTTCCTTTGTGCGGCTGAGTTTGGTAGGTTAGAGTTGGTAATGGATGAATATATATATATATATATATATATATGATTAATCCTATGTCAGTATATACACTATCAATGTTAGGTATATGTAACATATGTGCAAATTTTGAATATATATATATATAACCAAAAAAGAAAAAGCCTTATTGACTGCTCCCAAACTCCTTTTTGCCTCTTCCTCCTTCCCCACCCCCTCTCTCTGAAAGATAGATACAAACACTCAGAGATCTTCACACTATTTCTCGTTCCATCACTAAAATTTTTGGCCTTGCTTGGATTGTTGCCTTTTTTTTGGAAAAAAATATTACATTTTTCATGAATTACTTTTTACACATTTTTTAATCACTTTTTTTGTTTATCTCACGCACATAACAAATACATATACCTATATTCATATTATATTAAGAAGAGAACGTTAGATTTGTAGATTTAGTGTTTTAACTTTCACATTTTGAAATTATCCCTACTGTAAACCCAATGACTCAAACGCTTATTTCTTTATTAACAACTATTGAGTCTATTTATGTAAAACGTTCTTGTAAGAATAAAAGAGGTTTGGAAATTGAACTCCTTATGGAAATAAAATTCTTTCAGTGGAAGAATTACTATGTCTCATATAAAGGCAATATCCATGAGAGCAAGAAAACTAAACAAATTTACTATCCGTTGAATAAGGAATGAAACAAATATTTCGTAATCAGTAATCGATTCATAACTTTAAGAATTTGGAATGATAGAAATAGTCTAAATTTAAAAAAAAAAAGATTATACCGAACTAAAATTAATTGATGATAGGTGTATTTTGGACAAGTTTGTGATGGCATGCTCATCTATTTCAGAAAGCAAGACTGGAACCAAAACTCCTTGAACCGCTAGTACAGATTTTTAATGCTTTTTTATATTTAAAAAATAAATGTACTGTTAAATATTATATGGGCTAGGAAAAAATGTTAATACCTACCTTGATTATTTCTCATGGTTCTTCTAATGGGTGCCTACTGGATACTCATTAACAAGCATAAAATTTACATATCCTGCTATGTATATACACATACTATCAATTATTACTCTCCATTGCATTTATATACTTTTTTTATTTAAATTTACCTACCCTCTTTTGTATTTACATATTTTCTCTAATTAATCTTACATTTCAAAAAACATAACATTTAAAATATATTTTAATGAGTGCCGAAATGGGCACCCATTAGACACACCTTATTTCTTATTAGAATACAATGATAAGAGCAATAGAGAAGGGATCTTACCTAACTGTTATTTACAAAATCGGCATAGGAGTAGTTTTTCTTACCTTCTATCTTCTATTTTATTCGAATCATTATAAGTTCTTTGGTTTTGATTTTTAAGAACTATAATTTCTTTGTTTTTATGATTTTAAATACTAAATGTGAAAGAAAAGAATCCTGGAGTTTTATTTCCTTATAATGCATTTTTTTTCAGTATCTCCTTTATGTCAATTTTACTTCAAGGAAATAACTCTAAATCAATTTTACTACATCATTTCTTTTGAGTCAAAAGCCTTTTTATTCTTTTTTGAGGCCATGTAGTAGTATGATTAAGTGTTACATTAGGAAAATAAGCTTATTAAAGTCAATGTCCAACTTGAACAGAATTTTAGGGGTGATTTTCAAAAGTAAGTGAAGAACATGAAAGAAACTTTATCAGGGTATGCTTAGAAACTAAACATGAGTTGGAAATCTAAAATTTTATTTTACATATTAAATTTCATTTTTTGATCTTAAGAAAAAAGGAAAAAGACTTATGACTAACTACATGCAAGAAAGAGGCACCAATAGAAGACAAACCCAAAAAAAAAAAACACAGATAAAACAATTAAATTAATGTTTTTAGTTCTATCATTTTCAAACTTATTCTTATTATTCATGCACGATTTTTTGTGCGTGCTTTTGTTGAAAACTTCTAACTTTAGTTAAACTTTTAAGAAAAATAATTGTAACATATGTATCTGTTATACTCATATGGTATTTTACTAACTATATGGATGACAAAGAGAAAATTGTTTTTAAAAAAAACATCGTGTAAGCAACCGTTTGACCGAAAAAAAAAAAAAAAAGCAATCAACTGCTCAAGGTTCGGTTGCTATGAGTTATATAGGAATTATGGTTGTCAAAAGTCACCAAGAAATATCCGAAAGTAATGAATTTTAGCCCTATCATCTACACGGTTGATATTTTGTGACGTAGTTCTGTGGAGTTCTAAGAAATAGTTTTTTTAGAAAAGTGAGATTTAAATTCAGAAAGTGTATAAAATATAATTGCAGCAATTATTGTCCTACTTACAAGGGTTCAGGCACAAGAAACTAGCATAACATGAAGCCTTGTAAGAAACTAACATAAGATCAATTAATAAGAATGTTCATCAAGATTAATCAAGACAATATACAGTGCATATTCGTATGATTAGATCGTACCTAGCAATTAAACAGCTAACAAACAAGTCAAAATTACTCAATTTAACACAGCATCTCCCAATAATGGAACCAAAATCTTTTTAAAAAGAATAAATTTTTTAGGAGTCTACAATTATTTTTGTCAGTAGCCAATTAACTTTTGCTTCCACTAATTTATAACTTTAAAGTAGATTTTTCCACTTTCTATGATTAGATCGTACCTAGCAATTAAATAGCTAATAAACAACCCAAAATTGCTCAACTTTTTCTTTTAGTGTAGATGGGAGATTTCAAACTCGAGAGCTGCTCTCGCACGGTTCAACCCATTCCTCTCCATATTCAATTTAACACAGAATCTTCCAATAATGGAACCAAAATCTTTTAAAAAGAATAGATTTTGTTTTGGAGTCTAGGTTATTCTAGAATTATTTTTGTCAGCAGCCAATTAACTTTTGCTTTCGCCAATTTATAACTTTAAAGTAGATTTTTCTTTGGGAAAGTAATTTTAGCGAAAATTTCTCTTACCGAAGGCACCTTCCAGTCAAGAATTACGAGGCAAAAAAATACTTAACATATACATTTCCCTTTGAGCAAAAATACAGTAATGGCAAGTTTCTCACCTTTCTCTCACCTATAGCCTATATAAACTACCCTAGCGAGTCATTGGTATCCACCGCATAAACCCTTGTGGCAGTTCTGTCCAAATCTTGTGGAGGGCAAAATGTTGAGAGAAACCATGGGGAAGTTATGCTCGAAAGGTTTTGACAAGGGCATCAGCCATAGGAAAGCACCACCTCCGGTTTGGTGCCCATTGAGGTGCACTCTAGACGAGCTCTACAATGGAGTGGAAAAGAGGATCAAGTTTCCCGGAGGACGCATGAAGCTCCTCCCTGATCCTGGGTATGAATATGTTTTTTGTAATTAACATCTTTCCTTATTCCTACATCTAAATTAATATGACAAATTTATCATAAAATTTATTGTGTATCATTGATATGGATTATTGATTTTCTGAAAGAATCAATTTGAAAACGAATTGGTGAGTTATAATATCAGTTAGATTTACTATCAATTTGAAAACGAATTGGTGAATATGTATATATACGTACATTTAGATTTACTATCTCCTTTTTTTCTTTATTTTCCGACGTACATATTAAGTTTTAAGATTATTTAGATGGGGAAGGATTGGGTTAAGTAGCGAGGAGGAAAGGATTTTAAATAAGAGATTTTGGTTCAAGAATTCTCATTTACAAATAAAAAAGTTTATTTAAATAAAAATATTTCTAAGAAGTATTGCTTGTTATTGACAAAGCACGATTTCTAAAACATTTTTTCTCAGATATATCATATCAACAAATTGCTATGACAAACGATGTCTAAACATTCTTCCAAATAACCTCCAACCCAAAAATAATCTAATGCATTTACATTGAACTTGTAGCGTGATAGCACCGAATGCGGATCCGGAGACGCTTGTGGTGGAAATCCCAGCGAGTGCAAAGAACGGCCTGAAAACTGTATATCCGCGCAGGGTCATTCTAGACGACAGAAAGGTCCCCAGGGATGTGATCGTTGACGTGATAGAAGAGCCTCATGCTGAATTCCACAGGCAGGGCAACGATTTGTGGGCTATAAGGAAAATTCCGCTGATGGAATACGTTACCAGTGAAGCCCTTACAATCGAAACATTGGATAAGCGTCTTCTAACTGTTCCGAAGATAGAACCTGGGTGTGTTATAGAGATTCCCAACGAAGGCATGCCTTGTTAATTGGCACGGTATTGGGGATACAGGCTCCTTATTTGTCAGCTTTGAAGTTATCCACCCAAAGAATTTGAGTTTGACAGGAGAAGAAAAAGATGAACTCAAAAAGTTGCTGGCTAAGGAGGAGACTAATGTGTGATGAATTACATAAGTGGGGATCAAGTAACAATGCTGTGGGCAGCCTCGTGATTGTGTCATGAGTCTTTCTTTAGTACTAGTAATGGATTGTGTCTATTGCGTTTGGTTTATTTCCATCGAGTTCGAGTATAGTTTTCAGATTTTTAATTAGCTAGGTATAAGGATGATTTGTTCGTGTTTTAAGTTGTTCTCTATCTTTGCCACATTGGCCACATACTATATTAAATTCGATTCCATTGTTTTTAGGGTTAATAACACTTAGCCATGATAATACTCTATCACCCTCACGTTCAAAAATATAAATTTTGCCCCCCCAAAATGAATACCGTTTGTAGTTTTAACTTTGATCACTTATGTGAATATTTTTCTTTCTAAATTACCTTCAACATTTCCTGGTTTGTAAATGGTCAACTTTCGAGGCTTTTAATTTTTTAACTATAAATTCATCTCAATATTCTGCTATTTAGTTACTTTATTGCATAAGCATATGTATATTTTAACACTGCTTCAAACGTGAGTGGCCCCGCCTCGGCCTCCATCTTTTATCTAATATATTATATTGCTAATGTGAATTTTTACACCGTAATTTAAAATAAATAATGTGGTATTTTATTGTGATAAAAGAGCATGCTCTTTCCCGACAATGTATGGTATTTGTGGTAAGAAATTGATTTTGTATGTTAAATCTATTTGATTTTTTTATTTGTGTTGGATATTATTTATAAAAATGCAATCTCTATTGATTTAGATTTCATTTCAAAGTCCAAAGTGATTTTTATTATTTTTCATATATATATAAAGGGTAGTGGTCACTTATGGGGGTATCCGTGGGGGTACTAGAGCAGGGTAGGAGTGGGAGAAGCCGGGGTATAGGGCAGGGGGCAAGAGGAGCTTTTTTGGCGTAAGACAGGGGCTGATACCTTTGCTTTCCAGCAACGCCTCGACACTAGCAGTCATTTCTGGTACCTTGCTCTGTGCAAAAGGTTATTCTTATGAGAAGCAAATCATGTATAGGGAAATACTCGAGCAATATTATATGCCAAATTCACTTCCCATTTTCATATATAGGACAACAAGCTTTCTTATTCTTGACTCGTGATGTGATTAACATAGAAGAAGGCTTACCTTTAGGCTCTCTGCAAGGAATGAGTGGTTAGCCAGTTTGTGTACTTTTGCCTATTTTTTCCCCTCATTTGTTATGAGCGCCCCACCTATTATTTTGATAATTTCTTTGCAATGCCTTCCATATCCATTTTCTGGTAAGCACCTTCTCTGTTGGTTAGTAATTCTTTGATTAGCTCTGCATCTATCATAATTAATTGGGCTTGTGAACCACGCCAACTAATATATAGTTCTTACCTGTCAGCCGAAACAGAAAACCATGAAAGCAAGATTGAGAATGAAGCAACTTTTAGAAGAAAAATCAGTACCGAACTTGAACTAGCTTGCCACAGAATCTTATTGCAGCTTACAGGAGTTAATTATTTTCATCTCAGTTGGTTTACAGTGCAGGAGCAGGAAATCAGAAAATTGTACATTTTTCTGCTGAGTTTCGGAAACAAACGTACGAAACTTGTTAAGGCAGAACTGCTACTTACCATGGATTTTTGTCCATGAGTGAATATGAGGCTGAATTTTGATATAGCGAGATATCTCCATAGATCTGCTCATAGATTAACTTCTCATGTTTGTGATCTCTTTAGAGTTTCCATAGGGAAGAAACTTAAAAGCAGGGCCCTTGATTCCCTTGGAACTCATGATCCTCTAATTCGATTAGGAATCCACCATACCTTACGAAGGAACCTAATGAAAGTCCAAAGGATGGAGAGTAAAACAGTGTTGAAGAAACAGAACATGAGAACCTCATTAATACCCATACTTGATTCGGTTATGAATTATTTGTTCTTGAGCATTTTACAATGTGATGTGGCTGCGAATCCCCAAATGAATATTACGAAAAGACAGATTCATCAACATCTGTCTACCATAGCTTATTAAATTGCTGGATAGCTGAAATAGGAAAAGGCAAGTATATATGGTAAAGATACTAGGCATGGATGCGTCAATGATCTCACGATTTAGAATATTTATGACTGCGTTCATGGCCAAGTTGTTGGACAAATTAGTACACACAAACACAAACATATACATATATATTTATATGTACACACAAGTATCTTACAAATTTTTCTACCTAAGATCAAATAATTGAAAAAAGAAAGAGCAAAAGGAGATAGTAGTAATGGTAGATACATAACAGTAGTGACGGCAGTAGTGTTGATTGCATCCACAACATTAGGAAAAGCGAAGATAGTAGTGGGAGTGACTTATTTTTCTATCCCTTATTCTTACCAGATCTTATGTTTATCTTTTGGTAGTATCTTTTAAATTTGAATCATTTTTGTTTTTATTTACATTTTTATTTAATACATTTATCATTTTTCTACCTTCAACAATTTTTATTTTGGCTAAATCCCAAGGATTGGTCACTAGTTTGGCCGACCTCAAGAGCGGTAAATCTAATGACCTTGATTAGGTTGAAAGCTTAAGGGACATTTTTGTGCAAGTCTAAGTTCACCTTGTAATCCACAATTCATTTTGCCATCTTGAAAATTTGGACTCAGCTTGGTTTGAAATACCCGACATTTAAGAGGGATAAATTCAGGCTTGTTAAAACTCGGTCGATAAACCTAAAGATAAAGTAGCATCTCAATTCTATTATCTTATGGCAACTCGAGGATCAATCTACAAAATTGTCATTTGAAAATTGAAAATTGAAATACTCAAATTCTGGAGTTTTCAATATAGTAGACTCAGCGCCAAAAGTATTTAGCCAGAAATTTAGATGTCATCACGTGCTTCTCACGTGTATCTTGTAGTTGGTTTTTTCGGGCGGGTCATTGACGTGGGTTGGGGTTGTTTTGGAAATTTTAATAGAATGTGCAATGCAAAGAGGTCAAGAGAGTTCTCTATCAAGATATATAATTAAATGTTAATTAGGGGATCAATATTGTCCTTATAACCCAAAAAGGGAATTTGGGTGTCAAAATAGAATCAACAATGTCATCTGATGGACAAAATTGTATTTTCCACACATTCCGTTGCTTTTAATTCCCTGAATTTGTGAACAAGAATGAACTCTTTGAACATTCCATTTATTACCTTCCTGATTTACCTTTGCTCGTTATTCTTTAATAATAACCCCTCTCTTATTTTGCAGTAATTGTTTTCATGTAGAGAATTTATAGGTTGCTGCACCTACACAATGCTAGCTTCTTTTTAGGGATAATTTGTTCGTGGAAATCTAATCCATTCTAACTTTAGTCATTCGTCTTCATGGATATTTTTATAATTAACTCTCACCCATAATTGCATTAATTACTTGGAGTTTTTTAACCATTAGTTATTTCTTGTTAGATCAGCGGAAGAATCAGGTTAATCAAGTTGACATTGCTGCAAATGCCAAACAAAGACTAAGCATCTGATTCTCCCTCTTTGTTTTTTTTTAAACCTTGGTCATTGAAGAATTGGATTATTTATCTCACTTGTGCACGAAAATACCTCCTGATTGCTATCCCACATCGACAACTACATAGAGCGCTGCAAAGTTTATAAGAAATAGATCTCGCCACAAAGGTCACGACCTTACTTGAACAGGATCTGTTCTATAGGCTCGTACCTCTGTGTCCTTGAGTTCTAAGGAGACAGGAAACCAAGTCTGGCGGATGAAATATGACCGCTTGACCAGAACGTGATTAACAGCTCTTGTTGCTCGGCTTCCGAGCTCCCAGGGCAGTAGAGGATCGTTCCCAGCCCTTCGCTCTGGCATTGGTTGGGGTGGTCTTGCGGTTGTCTGACAGACTCTCCCATCTCTTTTAGCAATTTTCTTTCTGGGTCTTCCTCAAAGGTCGGAGAAGACGGGCAATATATTTGGTTTCTAGCAGAAAGCTTTCCTTGCTCACTTATAGCAAAATTTCTCCAATTCTTCTTGCCAGAAGCCCAAAAGAAATCTGTAAATTCCCAACTGTAATTAGGCATTAACAGGAAAGGTTGAATTTGTTGGAGTGTTTTTCACATTGTAGTTTCAACAGCCAACCATAAATTTCTCCTTGACCGAGCTTGCAATATTTCCCCTTTAAGGACTAGTTTTAGGCAAGTGAAAACGTGGAAATTTTGGCAAATATCCTTTCAAGATTGTAAGCATTATCAATTACTACTCCTTTCCCTGGTTGTCTGCTAGGAAATTACAGCATAGTGAACTCAGGAAATTTTAGCTAACTGTTGTAGGAAATTTAGACAAGCATCAGTAGCCACATATTTAAGTGTGCATCATTGGTTAATGAACTTGTAACAGAGACAATATCTCACCTAAGACAGTAGCAAGCATTTTGGACGTGCTAATGGGGATTTTAGATGCTAGTAAACCCGTTAGTATGTTTAAAAGTCCACAATCTATCCTCTAAAAGAGGGTAGTAGAACGCTTTCTGAGATTCTTTTATAAAATAGGCTAATTCCTCCGGTTATTGTTCAAAAAAAAAAAAATCGCAACAATAACGTTCTGATAAAATTTTGGTACAAAACTATGCTTGTCGGGCCGACACAGCCCGGGAAGCAAGAGAATTTTTTCAGCCACTAGAATATCTGCAAAAAAGCTGCCGGGCTGTTAGGCCGACAGCCTGCAGCGTCTTTTTTTTTTAAAAAAAAAAACTTCAAGGCTGCCGGGCTTACATGATAAATTTCCAAAAAATCTGCCAGCCATCAAAAGTGAAAAAAAGGTCTACATGGCCCCAGTGTGTGGCGCCCCCACTTCTCTCAAGAGCGAATCCAAGGGTATCCGCGGGACGCCTGCCAACTCTCGCCAGGACTGG